ACAGTCGACCTTCGTGTGTGAGTACAACTGCAAGTCATCAGCATACAAATGATACGCACACTGAAGATTTCGCTTGGGAAAGAGAAGACACCTGTTGGAATGATGCTGGCGGCCTCGAATATAAGATGCGAACCACTCCAAAGCCTCAGATGAGATCATAGAAAGTGAAAGGATTGATAATAGGATGTCGTGGCTGATGGCATTAAAGGCGTTAGAGAAGTCAACCAAAACCAGTACTGTGACTTTAGTTTCCTCCATGCCTGCCCTAATGTCACCAGTGACTTTGAGAAGCGCAGAAACAGTGCTATGAACTGGCCTGAAACGAGACTGTAATGAGCTTAACAGGTTATTCGAGAAGATAAAATGTGATAGCTGTTTGTGTACACAAGCCTCTAGCATCTTTGATAAAAAGGGAAGAATGGATATAGGTCGGAAGTGATTAGGTAAAGAAGGATTAGAAATTTTTGGCAGAGGTATAATGTAAGCTTTACGCTACAGCAACGGAGAAACTCCAGAATCCAGAGAGAAGTTAATTATATGGGAAATAGCAGGGAGGAGATGGTCTATAATATTAATAATCATACGGCGACTGATATTGTCACAACCAATAGCATTAGCCTTAATGGAGAGTATAACCTTCCTGATCTCATTCGTCGCTATTGGAGAGAAGCCGAAAGGGGCGATATTAGGACGAGGTAAACCCATTAACTGATTAACAGTTTGACACTTGGTTTGGTGATCCAGAGTTGTATGTGATTGATATCATCCAAACCAATTGTCCTCTAAAACTCAGAATGGGACTTCTTACCAATACCCATGGTTCCAAGGAACCTCCAGATATCTGCAGGGGAAGAGGATATGATGTTGTTAAGAATATATCGGCGTTTCGCGTTGCGTATCATCTGGTTACACCGATTTCTTGCAGTTTTAAAAATGGACCAATTTTCCTCACACCGCACTTTTCTATATTTCTGGCAGCCGCTTTAGCTTTGCTTTTTTAATAGGAGCATGCATATTATATAGATTAATTAATATGTTATTAAATGCGCTAACCTTTTCGTCTACCGTGGGAGCGGCTGTCACTGTGTCCCAGTTAATTTTAGAAGCATCCTGACACAACTTCTCTACATCCATACGGCCAAAACAACGCAAGTGCAGGATTTTAGGTGAGGGTTTAGGAGGTTTCAGGATATAGGAAAGGAAAATGAGATCATGATGGGAGAAACCAGACGCATAATGTTGACCATGAGTAGAGACAAGGGTGGGGTTTGAGGTAAGCATTAAATCGAGCCACGTGTGCTCCCCGTCCGCATTGTGGTGAGTGGCTTGTAGAGGTAGAACAGGAAGGCCAACCGACTCGATTATTTGAAGGAACTTATAGGAACGGGATGAGTGCGAAGCCAGGAGATTTGTATTAAAATCACCCATGATGATGTGATGTGAGTATTCTGACCCTAAAGATTCCAGAGTCGTTTCGAGACTGGAGAAGTAATCAACAGAGACGATATACAACACCAAGAACGGTATTAGCTCCCTTCACACATACTTCAAGAAAAAGAAGATGCGGAGTAAAAGGGCGAGGAGGAAGCTAGAAGTTTATAAGATAAGTCACTGCGGAGGTATATAGCAACACCACCCCCTCTCTTATCAACCCGATCGTTACGTATCAAAGTGAAACCAGAGAGGGGGTAAGTGGTTGAAAGAAGATGGGGCTTCAACCAGCTCTCCGAAATCAGGATGGCATGAACGTTCACGTTAGTAAAGGCTTCAATGAGATCACTGTAGTGGCTGGGTACACTTTGTGCATTGATATGACACAGATTTAGCGAAGAGCTAGACTGGTCAAATGTATGACGTAGAAAATCACCCTGCGTATCAGTTATATGTATGTATATATATTATGTCCCTCTATTAGGCAATTTATGAGGGAAGCCTATGTTTAATAATTAATTTTTGATATGCTGTAATGATGACCACCTGCAGATGGCTGCTTATGTATTATCTTTTTAAAGTGGATTTTAAAACGGAAAAGTAGTGCAGATTTGTAATTTATATGCCAGCACATGCGAATTGGTATCGAAGAAAAAACAATGAAACAAGTTTAGTGCTCGATGGTGATATTTTAGTTAAAGGTTTTCATTTCACAGGTTGAATTTTATAGTAACAAACTTGTAATGAGTAGAATCAGTAAAATTAATTAGAAGGATTTATTGCCAAAATGTGACTCTCTTTATACAAAAAATTAACAAAATTTACAAAGTTTCTGACCAATCAAAATTTACATTAATATATTCACAATCTTAAAATTATGATATCGAATAAAAATCATACTATTATCTAATGGCGGCTCTACACTCTCGACGAGAGCACTCGCCATGCCTCTCGCGAGCCTCTCGCACGAGAAAGCGCTTTCACGAGAGTGTGACCTTGTACATTCTTGTTTATTCAGTTACGGTGAGGGACGGCGGGGAGATGGACGCATGATTTCGGACGGATGGATTTTTGTCTTTGTGGTAACGATGCGTGGGCTCCCACAAAATAGGTTCACTTTGATAAATTCAAGAAAATTGAGTTTGCTCTCTTGGTTCCACATGATAAGTTTGTGGTAGTAGGATAACCAAATATACTGCACACTAAAACGTCTTACGGTAGACTAAACAAAGAGCGAGTGTACAGTGACGCACTCGTGTCCACTCGCGAGGGAATGCGAGGCCCTTAGACTCGCACACCAAAAACCGACATGAGCGCGAGAGCATGCGAGGCGAGGCGAGGGAAGGCAACGCTTAGCAAAAGTATCCTGTACACTCTCGTCCTCGCCTTGCCTCGTGGGCCCTCGTCAAGAGTGTACAGCCGTAATAACATGTGATTGGTCAAAAATATGAACGAAAAGAACTTTTGTACTTTTTATTTCTTATTCCGGGGTTACACTCTCGCCTCGCGCTCCACCTCGTACCTCGCCTCTCAGCTCGCGTGTTGTTGTGAGGTAACGAGTGCCTGTTTACACTCTCGTGATGCGTTCAGCTTGTGTTGAGCCAGCAACGATGGAAGACTTCGAAATAATAGCGGCATCAACTCTTGCCTCAATTAAAAGCAAAGTATTTACCGATGCTTGACTATTTTAAAAAGAAGGAAATTAAAAAATACGATTAATAAAAATATCGGATTTAGTGTTGTAATGTAGTATAGATTTTTAAACATCAGCTTTTTGCAGCAAATATCAAATTATTCTTTTTAATTCACCTATGAAATAATATAATCAAATAAAATAATATAACCAATCGAGAGCGCGAGTGTAAACACCACGCTTGCTTCCCTTGCGAGGTCCTTTGACTCGTGTCTAAAAAACCGCCTTTTACGCGAGCACCGCGAGAGGTGAGGCGAGCTGCGAGGCGAGCCACGAGCTGGCGTTTACACTCGCACTTCGTGGCTCGCCTAGCGACTCGCCTCGCCACTCGCGCGAGAGTGTAAACGAACTATTAGAAGCGGGGTGCGTGTGACTCCACATTCCACGCGGACGGCAAAGGTATTAATACATCGTATCTGAGTGCGCGGCCTCTCTTCTCTTTGCATCTCAGCATTCGCGTTGGATGGATCGGTATTCCTGCTGCGCGTAGTAATAAACTGGTAAAACAGCTCCTTACAGAACAACATCATGCTGAGAATATTTTGCTCTTATCATTGCACACTTTTCTGTGTTTCACGAGGCATCGATTGCAGCACAATTAAAACCTCAAGTTTTATAAACTGCTTAGACGTGTGAGATACTATCATAATGAGCTATCACTATCTTAGGTTGAGTTAGCTGTCGACAAAATTTCGAAAATAAAATACAATATACGTTAGACATGACCTTTATGGTCTAAGAACTTTGTCTGCCTTAATTGAATAATCTTAAATCGTAACAACAACCATAGAGGTCAACAGGAATGTCAAGGCTCCAGTACAATTAGGCCGGACGCGCTCGTCGCGCGTTCGGCAGATTTTTGTGTTGACGTTCACACGTTGGCGTGTTTCATTCTGCGTTGGTAGCTAGGTGAAGATAAACGTTAAGGCGATCGGAAAAAACAACACATACAACAATAACCCCAGTTTGTTCTTTTTAGGGTTCGAACCTCAAAAGGAACCCTTATAGGATCTACTAACTGATCCGTGCCCGCTTCGCTGGGCGTTTTTTTCAAAATAAAAGATAGCCTAAAAGAAGCCCCTAGGCTACATTATCCCTGAGGAAAATAGACTCAGAGATAATTTATAATAATAATTATCATTAGGTAGGTACTCTGAAATTACAACCAAACATGCATTATTTAATGCAGTTAGGCAAGTTACTAACTCTAGTTTTATTTTTATGTCGCTTATTTTTGGGGTTCCATATAGCCGATTCATTGTGATAATAATCAATGAACCTAAATAATTCCTCATTAGTCCATGTCGCCATGTTCGTGAAACAATTTTATTACTCCGACGCGTAACTATGAACTGAACACTCGGCCAACGTGTGATCGCTGTTTGCGGCTTGCGCCAAATTTCTTTGATTTGTGCACGGAAAACTGGCAATATTTGGCTTATCAGCGAGTGTTGGCCGCAAACGCCAAATTTACACGAAACGGCCTAGTACTCGTTGCCCTAACGCACTCGGCGAGCACGTTCGGCCAACGTGTACTTCCACCTTTATATTCATGGAGTATAGAGGTAAGGAGTACAATCTCCTATAGATATAAAGAATTGTCACCGTAGACAGATAGGATTCTCTGTCTACGATTGTCACATTCGTTTATTTAACTGTCAAAGTGTCAAACTCAAAGTTAAAGGTCAAAGCTTCAGGCAAAAGCCTTATAAAATTATAAAACAAACTAACAAATTTTACTGTTCTCAAATTTAAATAAATATTTGTTACAAAACCGCGTTTTAATCTATATAAATAAGTAAATATTGCTTGCTTACGAATGAAAACGTGAGTAATCAATTCGATTGCTTCAAAGCAATTATTTACTACTTTCCAAATGGAGTATATTCCACAAAATTTAGAATATGCAGTGTCTGTGTTTTACAATGGAGAGCAACAGGAAAGGGCAAAGGCACACGCCTGGCTTACAACGGCACAACGAGCTCCTGAAGCATGGAACTTTGTTTGGGAGCTACTTCAACCTCACAAGGTACCTAGATGGTCAACTTATTTCTTTGACACTGAAATTTCCACCCGACTCACATCAAAATACGATACCTACAAGTGTTTGATGCAAGCTATGGTCTAAATCTGGTGTCAGGGTGGTCATAGCATAAACAAGGAAAGACAATCAAGTGTTTGACATACCTTTTTATGTGTACGGGTAAGGTTTGAAATTAAGTCGCCTGAATTACAGGGTGGTGGAGGGGGAGGCAGGGTAGCTGTAGAGTTGCCGAATGTTCCTCCTTGCTCCTTGCTGAATGTTATTAGTTTTTTTATAATTTTTAAAAATCCCATTTTGAGGTTATATTTTCCTAATATTTTTGACTATAAACCTGATTTATAGGGGAGAGAGTTGAGGGAGAGAAGCCCCACGCCATTCAACATAGCGCAGTCGAGGGAAGCCTGGTCGACGAAGCCCTGCTTCACGGGGCTCCTACCTGAGCGGATTACAAAAATATAACCAAGAACGAGATGGCGGGGTCAATTCGCTCGCTTTGCTTGCTCACTCGACCCCACCATCCCCTTCTAACCTAACACTCAATAAAACACTAAAATATTAACTTTTATATATACTTTAAATTATAAACATAATTCATAGCTACAACCACTTATAAAAAGGATCCAAAGGGGCAATGAAGTCATCGAAAAACAGGTGGAGGCAGATAAAAACGTTAGGGAACACATTCACGTAAACTCGTAAACAACGGAATAATGTAAAGTATATCTGTCACTGTAACAAAATAGCTGGCCTAGCAATTCCTTTTACACATTTTGAGATGACTTTAACAGATGCAATGTCAAAGACATTAGAATTTAGTGAAATATACGTTCCATTTAACATTTAGTTAGTGATTTACCAATATTTTTAAAAAATAATTGAAAATACTTCAACGCCACTCTGGCAGCAAAAATCGTATAGGGGTTCTTCAGATAGACCCCCATGAACCAGGGTGACAGAATCTTCAAATTCAGGTGACTTAATTGGAAACCCAACCCAAGTGAACTGCTTAAAAAAAGAAGTTTCTCAATTTAACTTTATTTTTAATCGACTTCAAGAATGAGGAGGTTTTCAGTTGAATGTGTTTTTTTTATGTATGTTACCTAAGAACCTTTTTGGGTGAACCAATTTTGAAGATACTTTTTTATTTGAAAGCTGATACTTCTCATGTGGTCCCATACAAATTTGATCAGGATCTGACCAGTAGTTTTTGAGCTATCCTTAATAATGCATATTTAGTTGACTTATATATTATTGAAGTTGGTTGTACAAAATTTTTAATTTTACCACTTGTCTTGTTTATATGTTATGTGATATTTTCATCAATTACAATCCGATTTTCTCTCCCTCCATATAAATTTGCAGATACAATTCCATGCTTAAAGATAAGAAAATAGGAATGACGCTTATTCCTATTTTCTTAATGTAAACTTCTAGATTCTAGATGACATTCTATCCATTATCTTGAGTTTTTTTATGTTCCTTTGTCCTTATATGAGAGTAAAAAAATTAAACAATTCTGAATTTAGTTTTTAAACTAAGTCTTAGGAAGTTTTACACTAAGTCTTATGTCTTAAGAATTTAATTTTCTCTTTTTACACTAAGTCTTAACACTGACTTGCAAGCTATTATACAGAAATTATTTTATTCTTTTTGGTTCTTTGTAGTTGTCTAGTACCTTTTATCAAAAATTTTACGTTTATTAGAGTTATAATCACTTTCATTTTAGGGTACTGAAATTCAGTTTTATGCTGCAACTACACTGCATACTAAGATCCTGCGTTGCTGGAATGAGGTTCCAGCAGATAGATATGATGAGTTAAAACAGAAAATTCTCCATGCTGTCACCTCATATTCCAAAGGTCCTAAGATTGTAACCAACAGATTGTGTATTAGTGTAAGTGGTTTATTATATATTATATCCTCATTAAAAATTTGAATCAGTAGCACTGTTATTTATTACTTTAATTTTCTACTATACAATTTACGTTTTAAATTTTTATATATATATAATCTTTTATTATAAATTTTTCTTTCAGTTAGCAGCAGTGATTTTGCAACTGGGAGCTTCAGACTTAGTTTCAACTTTAAGGCCTTTGTCAAATGCTGAAAATACATCTTTACTGCTTGAAGTGTTGACTGTGATACCCGAAGAAGTAAATAATCTAGTTTTTAAATAAATAAACATTTACTTAATGATACTAATACTCAATCATCTTGTAACATCACTTACCTAAATTTTCAAATGTTTTTATTATCTTCTAACTATCAGTATTTTCTTTCTTTCTTTCTTTCTTTCTTGATTTCTTGAAGTTATTTACTTTTATTATTGTTGCTATTTTACATTTTCAGTACAACAGTATGACAATGGGGTCTTCTTTACGCTCTAAAAACCGAAATGCATTGCTACAGGCTTGTCCAGCAGTATTGGATGATATGCATCATTATTTACAAACTGCATATAGGTATGTTTTGCTTTTGTCAATATATTACTCATTAATGGTAATTCAAAGAAAATACTGAAATATTTTTGTAATTATATGTGGCACTGGCCAATTAATTGTAAATAGTATACTCTTGAACATGGGTCACTATTTACACTTTAAGAAATTCCTGTAATTGCCATACTTAGCATTTAGATGAGAGAAGACATACCATGTGAATTCAAGATATTTTTTTTAGTGTACCAGAAGTCCACTGCTGAGTATAGGCCTGCCTCACAGGCCAAGCATAGCAGCTACGCTTGGCTGGTGGTTTGCAACTGTAGTTTTATAATTATTTAAAACTGTAATAAGGAAGATGATGCTGTCCGTCTGATGTTTCAGTTTCTCTCTGCTGCTGTATTTAATTTTTGCTGTAAAATTACAAAAGTATTATTCCTAAATATTATCCTTATAGAAGGACATTGAAATAATGTTTTACTCTTGTTTTGTTTTCATAAAATTCATATTTATTAATCTTGTCTATGTTGTATCATGAAAAATTATGAATTTTTAAACTCTTATCTAGGTCTATGTCTTTAGGTACTTAAAAAAGAAAAGACTAAAATGTTGAGGTAGATAGGTAATTTACTTATGCAACTAACTTACTAAACTGATATTGCAAAGAAAAAACACTGCAACAAAACTTTAGAAGTGTTCTTGGCTGCAAATTGTTTAACAGTGTTTGAATAATTTATTTATCTCATTATAGACTGAATGTTGAAGAAGCAGCAGCTATTATTTAAATATTTAATAAATGAAAGCTTGAACAAAGTTACCAGCGAAACGTACAAAACCTGTACTCATGTCGAAAAAACAGAAAAAGAATACTCGATATACTTTGTCCTAGATTTTGAGTTTTTGATTGATTTGCAAAATGATTCCGACGACAGCGAATCAGAATTCGAAAATTTTGTATCTGATAGTGATTAACAATATCGAATTATGTCTACTTTGTTCTTTTTTTACAGAATAAAAATATATTATAAGTTATAACTTACATCTACTCACTTTGTTTCCATCAAGCAAGTTGCTTCACATTTATGCTCTTTAAAAAATGGTATAATAAATTATTCTAACAACTAAATATTCATTATTAAAAAAAAAAGATTATAACTTGATTTAAAAAGGCGTTTCCGATTTCTTTGCTAACTCCCCTACATCTTTTTTTCATTTCTGCAATCAAGGCGAAACATTCATTGTGAAATAGAATATCTATACAGGTGGATACGCGTACAGGGCACCTTTATGCATTGCGGTATTTTGAACACGTGGTGACAAGTCGCAAATCGGCATCTCGAAACACAGCTGTCGTGTGCACCACCACTGTGGCACTTCTCATTGTACAACCAAAAGTCGACTGGCGACAACTCGCTGCGAGTCGACACGAGTGCTCAAATTGTATACGCGTTGCTGCAGGTACGGACTTAGCGTGTCCGTGTACGCGTAACCGACTACGCGTACATTGGAATGCTTAGTTCGTACAAGGCTTAAGAACAAGGGTAATAGATTTCACCTTGGAGGGTAATAGATATTATGTTAGATTAATAATAAATTTTTATTTCTAGCGATTACAGTAAGGGGCCACCTTCTGATGAAACTGTTCTTTCTTGGCTGAGTACAGCAACATGTGCAGGGAGCTGGCTGACATTGGCTTTTGATGATACTGTTGAATATTCGCCTACTAGTGTACCGGATTACGCGCCGTTATGTCGAGCTTTGCTGACCGTTGTTCATGTAATTTACACGTAAGTGAAATGGATTAGTTTCTTAGAGTTAAGATTTACATTTATAATATTATCCCTTTATAAGGCTCTGACCGAATCAATTTTTTTTATAGGATAGGGTGAAAAACGAGCACACAGTCCACCTGATGGTAAGTGGTTGTTGTGGCCCATAGGCATCTACATCTATCCTCGATTACGAATCAAAATGCGAATGGGTTGTCACCTGGACTAAGGGAGTCCACTTGTCAGTGGACAAGGGAGAGAGGACACACTCAGGACTAAGATGGAATGCCTCGTTTTCAGTAATAAGGGTCTCCGGTTCTCAACACTCACCGTACGAAACACAGCAGCATTATGCTACTATTTTACGCTCGTATTCTGTGAGAGTGTGGTCCTTCCCTGGTTGAGCCGACCCATTCATGCAACAACTGAATGGCCCTAACATGTGGAAAATCAATACTAAAGTATGGATTAAGTATTTATGCCAGAACCTGAAAATCGCACCTTTATACTATCCATATCCAATTACAGCTTAAATTCGTCAAAACAATTGCCCATCACCCCAAATCAAACAACAATATAAGAATAACTACAATAAATAATTCAAAATTCTGTGGTATTTTGCCTGTTGAACAAAAATTAAAGAGAAATACATTATTTTGATGATATCAATACATACAGAAAATATGTATTGATATCGTCAAAATAAGATTATTATTCCTAAATTAATTAAGGGCCTATGCTCTAAAACACGGCAATACAATGGTAACTAATATTTTCCGAAAATTTTATCAGTAGTCGATAAGTCATTATAACGCACATCACTAGACTACACTAGATGTAGTCATGACTCTATGAGCGGGGAAATCCCGACGCGAATTTGACATACATCCGCGCACACTTCATTGTTTATGGTGTTCATTTCATTCTTTTGTTTTTTGAAATGTACATTAAAAATATATACTGCTATTTATTTACTTTATTTAACTGTACTAGCTAAGCACTTCACCCGATCCCAATCACACAATCTGTAAATTTCGAACCGACAAAACAAATGATAGACAATGTGAAGGAAAATAAATATAACTGCTCTGCTCTCATGAGACCGCGGCTATATTCCGTCAAATTGCTCAAATGGCTTAGCAAGATCCTCCGTTATGCCGAAAATATTGAGCATTAATTTTTAAATAAATATATGGTAAAGTTGAGAATTAATGTTAAGTACTATGTTAGACGAAAACACGATTACGTAAAAATTTTTCGACAAAAAAAGAAATCCAAAGTTACCTCCAAACTGAACAATAAACCGCTGGTACTCATAAAATACTTTAAATTAGATCACGAAACTTTGCATACTAACTGAACTATCTATAAATCAGGGCTTATGTTTTTCATTTTTTTTAAATAACCATTATTTTCACTGTAAAAAGAAATTACGTAAACTATCGGCATCCTGAACCTTGGTGCCTTGCCGCCCGATCGGTCTCGCTTCTGCTTTCGAATGGAAAAGCTGTGTCGATTACGATCAGAATACACATTACGCAACAGGACGACGTAAAATTAAAATGGGAAATAACCATAATAAAAATAAGAAGCGACTGGGTTGACGTAAAGAAACAGGCATAAATATGATAAACCTTATGAAGTAAGTATCTAACGACGTATCTACTTACAGTATTAGTTATTACAAACATGTCGGTACATAGCATACGACGTACGGGGAAGTGACGGCGAAATTAGAATTTGTGCTGAGGTAGTATAGGCACTTAATAAGCTACCTAAAACCTTATAGAAACATTAATCCTAAAAATATTAAACACAAATTAAAAACATACTTTATGAATCAACTAACATAACATAATTTAAAACTAATTCATATACTATTTTTATATAATTAACATGTTTATTTTCTAAAAATATAAATTAATATTTCGGCTGAACATTCTGTATGAACTCTTACCAACCATTCACTCATATTGTTCATTCTATTTACAATCGCATCTAAGTGTCCCTATGTGTGTTAATTTGTCATCATATTACAATATTGAAAACCAATGCTCAAGTTATTTTTACAGAAGCGTACGAACTACCTTCTTACTCTAAATAACATTAAAATGTGTACCCTCAAAAGACGAACTGCAGTGTGCAGAATAATCTTAAATAGGTTTATGTTGCACTGTACTTATGAACTGTGTGTATTATATATTTTTGTTGTTATCTTTCAATATAATCTGAATATTATGATAGGTATTATTAAATAGCCTACTATATTGATTGATTTACAGATTCTTGCTGTAACTGAAATTTCAAAAGAGCGCTATGCCATCTGCAAATCTTCGGTGATTGATTAACTCTCTGTTAATATTGAAACCTAACTGCCCAGCCAGAACCCAGCCGAAATATAGTTTTAGTGACAGTGTTGTATTTTCCTTTTTCGAGTCAATGTATTTTTACATTTTGCGATTCCACTTCCTTTTTAATTGACTTCAAATAGTACTCAATTCTAATCTATGTTTATTAAAACTACTTTAACGGATTTTATCGTGTTTAATTTATTTCATTTTTAATACCGACGTTTCGGGTGCTCTCCAGCACCCATGGTCTCAAGGGATAGGAAATAGTTTTAATGTTTGGTGTCCGTGTAAATATAAGAATGTTTTTTTAATGTGTTACCTCGGAACTTTGTTGTAGGTGAACCGATTTTGTTGATTCTTTTTTTTTATTTGAAAGCTGGTGCTTCTCGTGTGGTCCCATATAAACTTGATCAAGATCTGACCAGTAGTTTTTGAGTTATCCGTAATAATGCGTATTTAATTGAATTCGAATACATTGATGATGTTTTTATTTTATGTATATTGAAGTCAGTTGTACAAAATTTTTAATTTTACCACTTGTTTGCTACAAATTTTATTTTACAATTGTATAAAAGTCTTTTGTTTTAGATATTGTAAACATCAACAATTGTTTGTTTTTTCAGCTCTCTTTAATACATCGTTCGAGCGGTTATTGAATTTTAGCGATACTAATAGACAGCAATTGATTTTTAGAAATAGATTATTACTAATATAATAATAATGACTATAATACTTATCGAAAGTCATAATAATAATAATGACTTTCGATAAGTATTATACTTATCGAAATTCATTATTGGAATGGAGCGAGTGGAGCTCCCATGGCGCAAGAAAACGATTCTTTGAAATGTAACTCCTCCTCGGTAACCCGTAGGCTAATTTGTATATTTTTTCCGGCAATATTTGTAGCTCAACGCAGACAAGGTTTGTAAACAATAAAAGCCTGAATTGGAATTTCTTTTACTATCTAATCAATTCGCTAATTTATATCTTCGCAATGTCACACTATTTGATTGAATCTTTTGTGGAAATAAAGAAAAAGGTTGATGAAAAATGCAAAAGGTTTTACCTTTGCATCTGCATCGGCCCTAGCCACTGGTTCGAAAAATACCTCTGTCCTGGGAAGAACCAATAAGAAACCCAGTGGGTTTTTTTTTAACTTAAATCACTTTGAAATTATTTTGTACAATTTATTAAAAGAATTTTAAAAGAACTAGCATGGTAGCAATCACCTTATTCCCAGGGATTACGAGTATTTTCATTCATGTATTAATAATAACCTTTTTTGGAAGAAATTTCGTTAATAACAGTATTTTAGAATTGAATAATAAAGTTTTATTGTCAGTTGGAACGAGGCTGTGAGCGACGCTGCGCTGGAGGCGTGCGAGGCGGCGCTGGGCGCTGTGCGCGCGGCGGGCGGCGGCGCGGGCGCGCTGCGGCGGCCGGCCGCGGCGCACCAGCTGCTCGCCGACCTCGCGGACCTGGCCGCGCGCCTCCTGGCTCGAGACAACGTGCCCAACTCTATCAACGAGGTCGGTGCTCAGTCAACAACTCATGCTTCGTCGACCTTCACAAAAAAAAAATAATCGGCTCACCACGGCTTCGTAGAGCGCTCTATCACTCTTACATGTGTTCCGCTTTGTTGCTGAATTATCATTGTCATTTGTTGTACAAGACTTCAGACTTCAACATGTATACAGAGTTTTTAAAACCGATACCCTATAATTGAACTACATAATATAAATTAACTTAATATATAAACATGTTCTTTTTTTCAATTGGGTTCTTTAAGGATGCTTTCAATAAATATGAAAGAAAGAAAGACCTTTATTCACTGGAATTGTGCACATCACAAAAATAAAACAATAAACTATGAAGTGTAGAGGTAAGGAGTACAGACTCCGTATAAAACGCTTAATAAGGGTGGCGCCACTGTAGCTACAGTCTAAATTTTAAAGAACATTTTATAATTTTTTTATTGCACAGACTTTCACCATAAGTCTATTTACAATAATTACTTTATTGCTTTCAAAATTTTTATTTTCAAGACTCAACGTATTTTACGGCGATTTATCACACGCTGTACCTACTCGAGGGCTGTTGTGGAGAGTTTTTGAACTGTTATTTACTGCTTACAGATGGACACATTTTTAAATATTTTCCTATGGGAAATTGTCCTTACCTCTATACTCCATGCAATAAACAGTTAAAAGTATGGTAGATTACAATTACAAGTGATGGAGTGTGTGTTGATTCAGTGAAAAGTTTATGACTCAGCGTAATGCTGTAGGATAACCTACAGCGCTGATGATTCTGTCATAATCCCGGATACACGCACGATCCGCCTGGATGTATTTTATGAAATACATTTCAACAATTACTTTTATACTTTGAAATATTTCGTTGCTCATAAATATACCTATATATAAATTTAGAGATGTACACACATACACATACAAGAGATATTATACACATACATTCTACATATATAAAAATTCAAAAAATATATGTAAACATAACGTAAACATAACAATAAGCTCAACGGTGCTGGAAGAAACATCTGATGTAGGCTCTAGGTTGAGCATTTTGTGAGTGTAATAAATGATTCTTATAGTGTGATTTAAAATTATACTTTGAATTACACTCACAATAGGCGGAGGAATGTCGTCCCAGCATCTAGTAGCTATATATTTAAAACTACCTCTGAAACCTGCAAAACAGTAAGTGGGATTGGCAAGTGGGTTCGTACAAGACCTAATGATGTTTTGTCGATTTCTCTATTTAAGTTTCTCATATAAATATAGTTGCAACTTAGTTTTAACAACATCAAATAGCAGATTAGCGAGGTATAGTTTCTGTATAAATATATGTCTTATTTTTATTAAGCCGTTGATAATGAATTCTGAAAAATACATCATTGTTTTAATAGCTTTTTATAGATACCGGACCGGACTGTTAACACTTCGTACGACACAGGTTAAGTTTGTAGCGAAGGTAGAAAATTCATCGCCCCTTACACCCCTTTGGCGTGTAGTGGAAGGTAGAAAATTCATCACCCCATACACCCCTTTGGCGTGTAGTGGAAGGTAGAAAATTCATCACCCCATACACCCCTTTGGCGTGTAGTGGAAGGTAGAAAATTCATCACCCCATACACCTCCTTGGCGTGTAGTGGAAGGTAGACAATTCATCACCGGCACGAGAGGATCAACTGTCCCAATCCATCCCGTGAGTATCGTAAGTGACGGCAAAGAGAAATGAAATAAGAGACGGGCAGCGATATATTTCTGACAATTTAAATAAAAAAAGCCGCAGTTGCTTGTCAAGTGTTGCAACTATGGCAACCTATAGTGAAGCCCTTCGTTTAGTAGTAAAATTTTGTTAGGCTGTAATGAATGAATATCAATCGTTGGCTATCGTAAGTGACTATTATGGGAGATTTCAAATCTCACGGCCTCCAATAGATAGCGATACAACCTTATCGTCTATTTACCGAATGTATATCGTGTCCAACGGCTGAGTGCAGAAACTTGGGACAGCGATTGCCGATCCACCTTTAACTTTGCTTGACATTGGCATTGAAACGATGGAGTAATTTTTATAAAAAGAGAAGGAAGAGAAACATTATTATTATTTGGGTTACAGTTTAGTCGTCTAAGGTTTTAATAAAAACATCCCTTCACTGAATTAATACATTTATGCATTGCTTTTCTCGTGATTATCAAAAAAAAAATCGTAAACAAAATAATTCTAAAAATAATTCCGATAAAAAGTTATCCTTAACGAATTAAAAGCAGTGATTGAAAAAATCTTTTGCTACTATAAAAAAATTGGTGTAAAATAAATTCTTATCTTGGGTCGGCTTTAGTAATCTGCTGCACGATTTAAGTGATTATTTTAGCTTTAGTTGACAGGCAATGATGCTATTGATTACCATTTAGCTGCTTTTTATGCCGGAAATCTTTATTTTTCGAGATATCGATAGTTAAAGTTTTGAGGTTATATTGAGTTGGCTAGACATCCGGTACTTGATTTTGATAATGTTTTTAGTCTAGGAGGCTTGTAAGGGTTAATCTTAAACCTACTACACTGTTTTTAGATGTCGGAAATGCATTTTGAATTAATTACGATAAAAACAAATTTCACCAAAAATAGTGTAAAAAACAATTTGTTCTCGTATTATGAAGTAGATTTCCGATACTTGATTTTTTAATTATGTTTTCAATTTAGGAGGATTGTCAGGGTTAAGCTCGAACCATTTACACTGTTTTTGGATTTCGGAAATGCTTTTTGAATTAATTACTTAAGTTTTAACACAGATACACTCATAAAAAAGGACCCAGACAATCCATTTGTTGTGGTGGAGATGGGACTTATATACAACAAATTGAGTTGCAGTGGAGAGCAGTCAAGAGGTTTATCCGAAAACAAAATTATAACAATTCACATTACATTATTTCATTTACCACTCTAGTAGCAGAGTTAAGAGCAACTAGACTTTGTAGATAAAATAGGTCGAATCGGTTCTAAAACCGAATTAGCACACCCCGACTCCATGTAGTCTTGTCTGCCCTACCCCTAGAGTGTTTTTGTAAAGCCGTAGGCACGGAGGGAGAGCAGCCCCCCGCCCGCTGTAGGAAATCGCAGGCACCTAAGCGAGCCGTAGCGGCTGAGGCTGGTCGCCGAAGGCGACCAACAAGCCGAAGCTGCGGAGGCGAGCATGGGTGCCTGTGATTTGCTACGCAAGGGCAAAGGGGCTGCACTTCCCGCAGTGCCGAAGCCGTTGCAGAAGTAACTGCGTCAATATTCCTGTATAAAAAAATGAGGTTATGATTTTACAAAAAAAAAGGGGGGGTTTCTGGCACTTCCCCCTTTTAGGGCGAGGTTCCTACCCCAGGCCCCCCACTTGGTGACCATATATTCATGCGGCAGATTACTAAAAAAAATTCATAAAAAATGGGGGGGGGGGTTTCCGGCACTTAATTCTTTTAGGGGGGAGGTTCCTACCCCTCCCCCCATCTACCCGCCCATTCGGCGACCAATAATTCGTGCAGCAGATTACTAAAGAATTACCCTTATCTTTATAGGATGTTGATGGTGCTTATTTAAGTTTATTCCTATGAAATTTTTAGATGTTCTCAAATTTCGTTGAATTACAGGAACTCTTGTCAGCCATCATAACATGCCTCGTATCAGTTGCGGACTGCCACTCACGCGCAATTGTGCAAGGAATGGAAATTGACCCGCCGCTACAGACTGCCCAGCGTATCCTTGAGCTATTATTGGCTGCACAAGAAGCACCAGGACACTATCCGCTGCACGAGACTCGTTCAAACCTTGTATTCGGCTTCTGGTATACACTGCAGGTAAACGTAATATAAGTGCGAGATGAGTAAAAACGTCGATTAGGATAAGAAATCGATATATTATGTATTGTATATTCCACGCAAATGGCCATTTTTATAAAAACATTGTTGAAATGGCTATGTTTCTTTTTAGAGGTCATTTAAACTCACTGCACACACAAAAACAAATAGTATTTGCTAACGGGTTTCCGATGTTACTAAAGGCCTTATTTCACCGAGACATTACTGATTGCGCAATCTTGGAGTCTATAAGCTATCAACAAAACGGCAGTCACCGAAATGTCAACAATTGTCAACAATTGACAACAGATGTCAAAGAGTTGCACTTGCACTTAAGACATAGAAAGTTAACCAAAATGAAGAAAAAATGGTTATTGGTTTATCCTATCACATCCGATTACGGCACGAATGGACAATTCATCAGTTTATAAACCTTTATTAAAGCTTTCAGGTTCGTAATTTAAATATCATATACGTAAAACAACAGGATGTAACATTTACAATGTACATACATCTCAAAACATTATATACTCAAGGTTGAAAGAATCCTGTCAATGAATGATGTTTGAATGAATCATGAGTAGAAAGAGACGCAAGCTTGCAGGGGAATGTGGTTGAGCTGATAGTACCATTCAGTGCACGCGTTTGTGCTGGTTGCGCAACCAAACGGATGATAGGTGTGATACCGACTTGGTGTGCCGCAATGGCGTCTCTGTTTAATATATCGGTTTAATCCGGTTAAAGATCTTCTAACGTAAGCCTAACGTAATATGTTACTATCCCAACTTAACCTGTTAGCTCGAGGCCACGCGTAATATGACACTCCCGTTCGCTCGCGACCTTTTTGGCGGGAAAATTTGCAAATTAGCAAATTTTTTGCTATATTGCAAATTTTGCTATATTTTCACTTTGAGACAATATTTATGGATAAAACTTACAGGAATTCTTGTTGAATGTATAAACTATTGAATAAAATTATTTTGGTTGTTAAAAATTATAATAAAATTCATAAACTACCCTTTATAGCATAAGTAGTAGTATATACTTCACTTTTAGTGCCAAAATTACTACTAATTTGAATTCTACACTTTTGTTTTTGGAGAAATTTATATGAAAATGTTTGGAAACATGTATATTTTTATGTTTTATGTGTTTCCATTCGTTACTCATACCAAAATATTAAAATATTATAAAAATTAAAAAAAAAAAAAATAATATTTTATCTGTATGACATTTCGAACAATATTTCTAAAATATGTTTGTGTGAATTTGAAATAAATACAACGTCATGTTATTTGAAATATATACGAAAACTATTTTTACTTACATTTTACACTAAAAATAAATGAGAATTTGAAAAATAACACATTTATAACTCACCTGCCAAAACGGGCTTTCCGGAATTTGAAGTACTTTTGGCAATTTACTTTTCACTTTTTATACCACAAATTACATATCTACGTGTTTACTATATTACAAGGAATATAAAAAAGTATAATACTTTCGTTTTTAGTCCAGACACAAATATAAAATTCTATAAAAAAAATGGAGCAACTTCAACAAAGTGACACGTGGAACGCCGGAAGTTCAGAGTGATTTCTTTTTTTTTTTTTCTAAGAAACATTGCCAGGTTATGGTTTAAAATAAAAGAGCATATCTTTGTCTTTGATACTATTATCTATTGCATAGTGTCTTTGGTTTTGTTTTAATTAAAAAAATTATTTTTCAAAGGGTAGTACTTGTGGTACACATGTGTATCTTAATCGAGCGAGCGTACGATGTTTATGTTTGGTACACATGTGTATGCTAATCGAGTCTACAGGTTAATATTTATTTGATTTATTTCAAACAAAACGTTCTGTTCTATACGCTGCATGGTCAATATCGTGTGTGTATTGTTTTAGGGCTAGGCTTAATCATCTTAATATGGCGATCTATTATTAGTGCAACCAACTTATATGGTTAGAGTACAAAGTTCAAATATGAATATGTCACGACCAGCAACTTGTTGCACAGATATTTACTTCGCAAGATGTAAGCTTGTTCTGCGTAGATCGGACCAAAAATTAATATTCTAAAACTAAAGATAGCAGGGCTAACTATGATGACGGGACGTCAAACACCTCAGTCCCTTCTGTGAATATGCGTGCTGTAAAGCACACGAACCGTCGGAAATTAAAAAGTCAAAATTAAACATGATAAAATCCTTAAAATTAGTTTCATTTAATGTGTAGTGTTCGAGTAAATTTAAGGTCATTAATGTTGTTTGTTAATTTTTGTTCTTTTTTTCTTGCTTAGGACGAAATAACTAACATGGCGGACGGCTCACGGAAAATGAACCCCATATGGCGGGAAGTGTTCTCTCGTCTGCTGATGGCACTAGTGGTCAAATCCGAGGCTCCTGTTGATGCCGCCCTCTCACGGGATGATCAGGAGCTATTAAGATGCTACAGACAAGACATATCGGATACTGTGGTATGTTTTACAACAGAATAATTATGTAAGTAATATTAGCATAATACGTCATTTGTAATGGTCAATGGATCATGCATTGGTAATGATATTTAAGTTTATTTTGTTTCTATTGGCGTATTTAAAAATCTAAATAAAATTATTTGCACCACTTTTACCTATTAAAACCCACTTCAAACCACTATTTAAACAATAATACAGAAGCAGAAATCTGTCGGTGGTCAAGTTCCCGACAAAAAACCAAAATAAAATTGTTATAAACTGCTGCAAGTCCCTTTACGTTGTAAAATGTTTGTGCAGATGTACTGCTACAGCATTCTGGGCGAGTTGTGCTGGGATACAGTGGAAGAGGCGTGCAGCTCGAGTAGATCTGAGGAGCGTGTGGAGGCGGCGCTGCACGTGTTCGCGGCGCTGGCGGACGCGGCGCCGGCGCAGCGCGCGCCAGCCGCGCTCGCCGCGTTGCTGCGTCGAGCCGTGCGCGCCACCGCCGCGCGTTCCAAGCGGCTGCTGTGCACAGCGCTCGACTGCCTCGGTCAGTGCACCCGCACCCGTGCTGTGCTCCAGTAGAGTAACTTGCTGTGTGCGACACCGCCGCGCGCTCCAAGCTGCTGCTGTGCTACCGCGCTTGACTGCCTCGGTCAGTGCACCCGCACCCATCCTGAGCTCCAGTAGAGTAACTCGTCGTGTGCGCCACCGCCGCACGCACCAAGCTGCTGCTGTGCACCGCGCTCGACTGCCTCGGTCAGTGCACCCGCACCCATCTAGAGTAACTCGCCGTGTGCGCCACCGCCGCAGGCACCAAGTTGCTGCTGTGCACCGCGCTTGACTACCTCGGTCAGTGCACCCGCACCCATCCTGAGCTCCAGTAGAGTAACTCGCCGTGTGCGCCACCGCCGCACGCACCAAGCTACTGCTGTGCACCGCGCTCGACTGCCTCGGTCAGTGCACCCGCACCCATCTAGAGTAACTCGCCGTGTGCGCCACCGCCGCACGCACCAAGCTGCTGCTGTGCACCGCGCTCGACTGCCTCGGTCAGTGCACCCGCACCCGTGCTGTGCACCAGTAGAGTAACTCGCCGTGTGCGCCACCGCCGCGCGCTCCAAGCTGCTGCTGTGCACCGCGCTCGACTGCCTTGGTCAGTGCACCCGCACCCGTGCTGTGCACCAGTAGAGTATCTCGCCGTGTGCGCCACCGCCGCGCGCTCCAAGCTGCTGCTGTGCACCGCGCTCGACTGCCTCGGTCAGTGCACCCGCACCCGTGCTGTGCTCCAGTAGAGTAACTCGCCTTGTGCGCCACCGCCGCGCGCTCCAAGCTGCTGCTGTGCACCGCGCTCGACTGCCTCGGTCAGTGCACCCGCACCCGTGCTGTGCTCCAGTAGAGTAACTCGCCTTGTGCGCCACCGCCGCGCGCTCCAAGCTGCTGCTGTGCACCGCGCTCGACTGCCTCGGTCAGTGCACCCGCACCCGTGCTGTGCTCCAGTAGAGTAACTCGCCTTGTGCGCCACCACCGCGCGCTCCAAGCTGCTGCGGTGCACCGCGCTCGACTGCCTCGGTCAGTGCACCCGCACCCGCGCTGTGCTTCAGTAGAGTAACTCGCCGTGTGCGCCACCGCCGCGCGCTCCAAGCTGCTGCTGTGCACCGCGCTCGACTGCCTCGGTCAGTGCACCCGCACCCGTGCTGTGCTCCAGTAGAGTAACTCGCTGTGTGCGCCACCGCCGCGCGCTCCAAGCTGCTGCTGTGCACCGCGCTCGACTGCCTCGGTCAGTGCACCCGCACCCATGCTGCGCTCCAGTAGAGTAACTCGCCGAGTGCGCCACCGCCGCACGCTCCAAGCTGCTGCTGTGCACCGCGCTCGACTGCCTCGGTCAGTGCACCCGCACCCGTGCTGTGCTCCAATAGAGTAACTCGCCGTGTGCGCCACCGCCGCACGCTCCAAGCTGCTGCTGTGCACCGCGCTCGACTGCCTCGGTCAGTGCACCCGCACCCGTGCTGTGCTCCAGTAGAGTAACTCGCCTTGTGCGCCACCACCGCGCGCTCCAAGCTGCTGCGGTGCACCGCGCTCGACTGCCTCGGTCAGTGCACCCGCACCCGCGCTATGCTTCGGTAGAGTAACTCGCCGTGTGCGCCACCGGCGCGCGCTCCAAGCTGCTGCTGTGCACCGCGCTCGACTGCCTCGGTCAGTGCACCCACACCCGTGCTGTGCTCCAGTAGAGTAACTCGCTGTGTGCGCCACCGCCGCGCGCTCCAAGCTGCTGCTGTGCACCGCGCTCGACTGCCTCGGGCAGTGCAGCCGCACCCATGCTGCGCTCCAGTAGAGTAACTCGCCGAGTGCGCCACCGCCGCACGCTCCAAGCTGCTGCTGTGCACCGCGCTCGACTGCCTCGGTCAGTGCACCCGCACCTGTGCTGTGCTCCAATAGAGTAACTCTCCGTGTGTGCCACCGCCGCGCGCTCCAAGCTGCTGCTGTGCACCGCGCTCGACTGCCTCGGTCAGTGCACCCGCACCCATGCTGTGCTCAAGTAGAGTAACTCGCCGTGTGCGCCACCGCCGCGCGCTCCAAGCTGCTGCTGTGCACCGCGCTTGACTGCCTCGGTCAGTGCACCCGCACCCATGCTGTGCTCAAGTAGAGTAACTCGCCGTGTGCGCCACCGCCGCGCGCTCCAATAGCTGCTGTGCACCGCGCTCGAATGCCTCGGTCAGTGCACCCGCACCCATGCTGTGCTCAAGTAGAGTAACTCGCCGTGTGCGCCACCGCCGCGCGCTCCAAGCTGCTGCTGTGCACCGCGCTTGAATGCCTCGGTCAGTGCACCCGCACCCATGCTGTGCTCAAGTAGAGTAACTCGCCGTGTGCGCCACCGCCGCGCGCTCCAAGCTGCTGCTGTGCACCGCGCTCGACTGCCTCGGTCAGTGCACCCGCACCCATGTTGAGCTCCAGTAGAGTAACTCGCCGTGTGCGCCACCGCCGCGCGCACCAAGCTGCTGCTGTACACCGCGCCTCGACTACCTCGGTCAGTGCACCCGCACACGTGCTGTGCTCCAGTATAGTAACTCGCCGTGTGCGCCACCGCCGCGCGCACCAAGCTGCTGCCGTGCACCGCGCTCGACTGCCTCGGTCAGTGCACCCGCACCCATGCTGTGCTCAAGTAGAGTAACTCGCCGTGTGCGCCACCGCCGCGCGCTACAAGCTGCTGCTGTGCACCGCGCTTGACTGCCTCGGTCGATGGCGACGGCGACGTTTTCCCGAGAAATATTAGCACGGCTGGTGTATAAGGCATCGCCAGTGCTGTCGTCTGCATAGCAATTAACGTTACCAGTTTGCAACTTATCATTGATATGGAGAAGAAACAGCGTTGGTGATAGCACGCAGCCTTGTGGAACACTAGCGTTAATAGGCTTCTAATCAGAGCATGCATCGTCTACTATGACCTTGATGCTCCGATCAGCAAGGAAACTGGTGATCCAATTGCTTAATTTCGAGCTTCGAAAGAAGCGCTTTGTGTTAGGTCCGATCGAAGGCCTTCGCTATGTCCAAACTAAAGTCCAATGTCTCCCCCTTGGACTCTACTACTTCCGCCCATCTATGAGTTAGGTAGACCAGAAGATCGAGCACGACGAAAACCGTATTCATCATCATCATCATTACAGCCCTTCACAAGTCCACTGCTGAACGTAGGCCTCCCCCAAGCAATGCCACAAAGCACGGTCCTGAGCCACCTGCATCCATCGACTTCCTGCATGTCTTACCAGGTCGTCACTCCATCTAGTGGGGGGCGCCCTACACTAAGCCTACCGGTACGAGGCTGTCACTCGAGAACCTTTCTTCCCCATCGGTTATTGGTTCTTCAAGCTAAATGGCCTGCCCATTGCCACTTCAGCTTACTAATCCGTTGGGCTATGTCGGTCACTCTGGTTTTACTGCGGATATCCTCATTTCTGAGTCTATCACGCAGAGAAACTCCGAGCATAGCCCTCTCCATAGCTCGCTGAGTGACCTTGAGCGTCCTTATACGGCCAGCAGTGAAGGACCACGTCTCAGATCCGTAAGTCATCACTGGCAACACGCACTGGTTGTACACTTTAGTTTTTAGAGATTGAGGTATACCTGACGAGAAGATGTGTCGTAATTTCCCGAACGCTGCCCAGCCGAGCTGAATCCTTCGATTGACCTCTCGGTCGAAGTTGGACTTACCTAGTTGGACTATTTGTCCCAGGTAAACGTACTCGTCAACAACTTCGCGCATAGTGCTCCCAACAACTACCGGCATAGGTGTGACATGGACATTAAACATGATCTTTGTTTTGTCCATGTTCATCTTAAAACCTATCCGTTGGGAGACACTATTGAGGTCATTAAGCATAGTGCTAAGGTCCCCCAGCGATTCTGCCATAAGGACTATATCGTCGACAAATCGAAGGTGAGTGATGTACTCGCCATTGATGTTAATACCGTATCCTTTACAGTCCAGTAGCTTGAAAACGTCTTCCAACGCAGCGGTGAAGAGTTTCGGGGATATAACGTCACCTTGTCTTACACCTCTCTGCAGTTGGATAGGTTTCGAACTCTGGTTCTGTCATCGGATAGCCATCGTAGCCCTACTGTACAAACACTTCAGCACTTCGCAATACCGACAGTCAACTTGGCACCGCTGAAGGGACTGTAGCACCGCCCAAATTTCGACGTAATCAAAGGCTTTCTCATAGTCCGCATACGCCAGGCAAAGTGGCAGATTGTACTCTTCGGTCTTCTCTACAATGTGCCGCAGGGTATGTATGTGGTCTATAGTACTGAAGCCTTTTCGGAAACTGGCTTGTTCGGGAGGCTGGAAGTCGTCGAGTCTGCGTGCGAGACGATTCGTAATGACTCTCGAAAACAGCACGTAGACGCGGCTCAGAAGGGAAATCGGTCTGTTGTTCTTCAAGAGAGCGTTGTCGCCTTTCTTAAAGAACAAGACCACCGCACTTCTGCTCCACGCCTCCGGAGTAGTGCCACCATGGAGGACGGTATTGAAGAGCTTCTGAAGGACTTCAAGTACCGGTGTTCCACCCGCTTTCAGAAGCTCCGCTGTAATTCCATCCTCGCCTGGGGCCCTGCCGTTTTTAAGGTGCTGGAGAGCTATTCTAATCTCGCTGAGAATAGTGTCGGGTAAGACTTGCTCTTGGATCGTTACTCACACTTGCGTGTGGCTCCAACGGAGATATATATGTACAGCTGCCCATAGAACCTCTCAATCTCACTCAAAATCTCAGGTGTCCCGGAAACGATGCTGCCACACTCAGTCTTCAGCTTGACAGTTGGCTCTTTCTGGCAGACAGATCTCTGGCAAAGACTTTGGAGCCCTGGTTCCGCTCGATCGCTTCTTTAATACGAGCAGTATTAAAGTTGCGTAAGTCTCGCCGCATGCATTTGGAGATCTGTCTGTTCAGTTGCCTGTATGCTGTCAATTCTGCTGACGATTGCAGCCTCATCTATCGTTTAACAGCCATGAGATTAAGAGTGTGATCGGAGAGTTTTTGTGTTCCTTTGCGGCGGGTC